ACCTACATATAATAATGAACATAATGAGGCCTTTTGTTTCCCTGGCCTCGGTGGGCCACATTCTCCCAGCCCCCCACCCCCACCTTAACACATCCAGATGGGAAAGGGAAGGAGGGCATACAACAACAACAACAGCTCAGTCAGGGCGCTGGGACCAAAGGGGCCCCTTTGTGGGGGGAGGCAGGGTGGGAGGGGGTGGAGGGGTTCCTGGGCTTCCCTGGTGGCAGAGGGAGGCCCCTCCCTTTGGGGGGATATGGGGTCCCCTAGAGCCTCCTTCCCCTTTGCCTCCAATTGGCCCCTCTCTCTTCTCCCTCCCTTCCAGTGGGACTCATGGAGTAGAGATCCTCCTCCTCCTGCAAAGAGAGCGCCTTCCTTCCTTCCTCCGCCGCCAACCTCAGAAGAGCTTCTCCCCTCGGGACCCCACTCGACCCTCCTTCGGCAAAAGGAACTGCAAATCCACCTTTTTCTGCAACCCAGCCCTCATCTCCATGTCTCTCCCTGCGCCTCAATCCACCAATAAAGAGATACTTTCTACTCCTTCCTTCTTTCCTGGTCTGTCAGTCCATGCCTCGCTTTCGTTTGGCGCTTTCTTGGGCAGCATGTCTGGGAGGACAGATGGGCTAGCTGGTCTCCAGGATCCCTCACGATCACCTTTGGACCAGATTCAGCATCGGTACAACTATCCAGATGTGGCTGGAGTGTAACTTCCATCATCCTCTGTCAACTCCCCCCAAACACAATAGATATGTTAAGTTGGCTATGATGGATCTGTGTGCCAGGCTTAGTCCAGATCCATTGTTGGTGGGAGTCACCGTGCTCCTTGATTGTGGGTGAACTACAGCTCCCAACACCCATGGTCCATTTCCTCCAATCTCAGCCAGTATTGAAAGTTGATCATGTTGGATACATGTGCCAAGTTTGGTTCAGATCCGTCATTGGCCACTGGGTGCCAGGAAAACTGTAACTCCCATTGTCCTGGGTCAATCCCTCCCACCCTCCAGCATTTTCTATTTGTGGGAGGGGGGAGGGTCTGCCAAGTATTGTCTGGCTCTGTTGTTGGCAGGAGTCACAGGGCTCTATGGACATGAGTGCCATCTTGGGAAATGAATGGGTAGATAAGTAGGTAGGTAGATGGATGGGTGGATAGATAGATAGATAGATAGATAGAGATGAGAGATGGATGGATGGATGGATGGATGGATGGATGGATGGACGGACGGATAGAGATGAGAGATGGATGGATGGATAGAGATAGATAGATAGATAGAGATGAGAGATGGATGGATAGAGACAGATGGATAGGTAGAGATGTATGTATGGATGGATGGATGGGGGAGATAGAGATAGATAGATAGATAGATAGATAGATAGATAGATAATGAGATGGAGAGAGATAGACAGACAGACAGACAGATAGATAGCATAGATAGAGGATGGATGGATGGATGGATAGATGGATGGATGAAGATAGATAGATGGATAGAGATAGATAGATAGATAGATGGATGAGAGATGGATGGATGGATAGAGATAGATAGATGAGAGACAGATGGATGGATGTATAGAGAGAGAGATAGATGAGGGATGGATGGATGGATAGAGATAGATGGATAGATAGATAGACAGACGGACTGCATATTCTCCTCCCCCGAGTCGCCTTCAGGCTGATACGGGCGGGATAGAAATGACATACATAAATAAATAATGGGCCCTTTGGGATTTTCAACCCTCGGGACCCCACTAAACCCTCTGGCCCAGTTTACCTGTCCAAACGTATTCTCCCCTATGAACAATCAAGGCTGTTAAGATAGAATCATAGAATCAAAGAGTTGGAAGAGACCTCATGGGCCATCCAGTCCAACCCCATTCTGCCAAGAAGCAGGAATATTGCATTCAAATCACCCCTGACAGATGGCCATCCAGCCTCTGTTTAAAAGCTTCCAAAGAAGGAGCCTCCACCACACTCCAGGGCAGAGAGTTCCACTGCTGAATGGCTCTCACAGTCAGGAAGTTCTTCTTATGTTCAGATGGAATCTCCTCTCTTGTAGTTTGAAGCCATTGTTCCGTGTCCTAGTCTCCAAGGAAGCAGAAAACAAGCTTGCTCCCTCCTCCCTGTGGCTTCCTCTCACATATTTATACATGGCTATATCATATCTCCTCTCAGCCTTCTCTTCTTCAGGCTAAACATGCCCAGCTCCTTAAGCCGCTCCTCATAGGGCTTGTTCTCCAGACCCTTGATCATTTTAGTCACCCTCCTCTGGACACTTTCCAGCTTGTCAACACCTCCCTGGGGAGGTGGTGGTGAGGTATAAACAAAGATTATTATTATTATTATTATTATTATTATTATTATTATTATTAAGGCTTCCCACCAAAATGGAACTGTAGAGGAGAGTCTACTGAACAAGCCAGTACCTGCCGCATACCAGTACTGCCATTTGTTGAGGAGTTACAAAGGGGGAGGCATAACTTTTCATTCAACCCTAGTAGCTAAGTTAGGTAGATTTCTTCGCGCGGAGTTTCTGCCCGGAGACCGATGACGCCAGAGAGGAAGTCGAATTCCCATTGGAAGATCCTGGGCGTGAAGCTGGGGAGTTTCTGCCCGGAAATTGATGACGCCACATATGAAGGCAAATTCCCATTGGCGGATCCTGGGACTGAAATTGTGGAGCTTCTGCCCGGAGACCGATGACGCTAACGAAAGGAGAATTCCCATTGGCGGATCCTGGGCGTTTTACAGAAAGGCAGAGATTAAAGCCAAAGGCAGCTCTGCCTAGTGGGACTCGGTGCAGCTTACATGAGGCCGAGTCCAAATACAACAATACAAGCAATAACAATACAATACAGCAATTAAAATAAATCTCATAACACCAAAAGCATAAACATTAAACAAAATACAGTGCCCAATTAAAATCTATGGCTGGGCCAAATGTAATTATAGTTTTAAAAAATAGTGCTGGGCATGAACAAGATGCAGGAGGTAGGGCGTTGATAGAAACATACAAGCAGTCCTAAATCGATATAAAGTGCTTTTTGGGGACATAATGCTAGGGGTTCGTTATTCTGGGAAGGCACACTGGAACAGTTGTCATTGAGCGCAGCGGAGGCCCCCTGCCTCCAAGTTGGTCCGACGAGCAGCGGAGAGTTCCACAGTTCCTAGAAGCCACAATTGGGACTAACTGATGAAATGTGCCCCAACAGACAGCTCAAAACTAGGACTGCACTCTGCCTCTGTGCCTTTCTATCACTTTCCCCCAAGCCCTAACATTGTAGCTATTCCCCTAATAAAAGTACTTGAAATTGCAACTTTTAACTTTTCCGCTTGATACTTTGTGTCTTTCCTTGCCTGAACCATCAAATTGCATGAAATTAACCTTTTCCAGGCTCCGGGGAACCGCGAGCCCGCCCGGAATGCCTTCCTGGTGTTCCAGGGACGCCGAATCTGCGTTATTTGAAACTGCGGATACAGGATTTCTCCTTTCGGATCTCGGTATCCACAAAATCATAAAATGGCGGATCGGCTCCATTTTAATGTCATATTTTTCCCTGCAATATTCTAAGCCTATCTGCTGTCTCGCTTTTTCTATTTTGGATCCCTACGCCCGGGAAATAACCTCGATTTTTGAGAATATATTTTGTCAGAAACAGCTGATTGCCAAAAACGCCGGTTCCATGCAAACAATTCGACTGCTCCTTGCCGCCGCTCGCCCCTGCTGAGCTCCAGACCCGGGGACTTGATGCGGTTCCCCCATGGGATTTTGGAGAGGAGCCTGGCCAGGGGGCCCCAGTCCTTGGGAAGGGAGTTCTAGTTTTCCAAGGACCAAGACGTGGATTCATGGCAACTCGGCCAGAGTTGCCATGAATCATCACTGTTGCCGGTCTGGGACTTCAGGGAAACATTATTTCTCATGAACTTTCTTCAAGAACAGTGGACTCAAAGTCTCCAAATAAAATTAATTCTTTTATTAAATATACTTGTGGCGTGGGGTAGGGATTGGGTCTTTGCTGCTGTGAAATGCTTATGAATTGTATGTATGTATCTTCCTATGAAATATCTTTTGCCCTTTTGTCTTACCCTTGCCCCTTGCCGCAGAAAGGCGACCAGTAAACACTCAGTGCCTGAGGGGGGCTGTTGTTCCCCTCGAAACCAACCTTCCACAGACATTAGCATGGACAATAGCAAGGAAGTTTTTCATTGATTTTCTGAGTTGGTCTGATCAATGTTAATTTCCCCTTAGGCAAGTTTTGATCATTTCAAACAATGCTGGCCAGGCTGCCCCCTAGGGAGTCTTTTTGCCAGTTCGTCTTCTTCACCTGGCTCACAAAGCAAACTTCTTCTTATCAGATCAGGGACAAGAAAACCCTTCCTAATTCAATCAATTCTCAATCGGCAAAACAATGCCTCAATGTCTCAGCTGGCCGATTCTTTCAATAAGTCATAATCTTATCGCCTTCCATTATCTCTGATCGTCCCGCCTCCTCTTCCCTGATTCGTCAATCCCCAGAAGTGGGGAAAGCATCCTGATTGGCTCCCCAGAAGCGGGGAAGCCTTGCGATTGGCTCAGGCTGAGGGCGGGCCACCGAGCCTCCTCCCAGCTGTTCAGGCCATCAGCCAATCATCGACGAGCCGGGCGGGGAAAGGCGGGCGGGAAATTTGAAATCTTTGTACATGTTTCTGCTATAAAAATGCCTCCAAACTTTGTGTTAGCATGCTTGCATGTGAATGATCACTGCAATTGCATCCGCTTCAGCTGAATCGCACAATAAACCTCAGTGCCACTTCTTCGCCTTGGCAAGAGTCTCATTTCAATTATTAATATTAATAAAATTGCTGGAATCAGGCTTCTCTGACAGCTCGCCAAGGTCATAGATCCTCTTTGGTGCAGTCCTAGGGGTCTCTCTTACTGGGGAGACCCTCCTAAAGTCTGTATTGACTTCACAACCACGTTTTCAAGCTCCTCCTGAAGACTGCCAGAGATGGGGCATGGCTGATGTCCTCTGGAATGTGCCCAGAGGAGGGCGACTAAAATGATCAAGGGTCTGGAGAACAAGCCCTATGAGGAGCGGCTTAAGGAGCTGGGCATGTTTAGCCTGAAGAAGAGAAGGCTGAGAGGAGGCATGATGTGAGAGGAAGCCACAGGGAGGAGGAGGGAGCAAGCTTCCTTTCTGCTTCCCTGGAGACTAGGACGCAATGGAGCAATGGCTTCAAACTACAAGAGAGGAGATTCCATCTGAACATGAGGAAGAACTTCCTGACTGTGAGAGCCGTTCAGCAGTGGAACTCTCTGTCCCGGAGTGTGGTGGAGGCTCCTTCTTTGGAAGCTTTTAAACAGAGGCTGGATGGCCATCTGTCGAAGATGCTTTCAATGCTATTTTCCTGCTTGTCGGCAGAATGGGGTTGGACTGGATGGCCCACGAGGTCTCTTCCAACTCTTTGATTCTATGATTCTATGAGAGTTTGACTTGGTAAAGTCACTCAGAGAGATTTCATCATATTTAAAAACACCACATTCTGTCAATGCCACTGGAGTACCAAGAAGCAGGAAAATCGCATTCAAAGCACCCCCGACAGATGGCCATCCAGACTGTTTCAAAGCCTCCAAAGAAGGAGCCTCCACCACACATCAGGGCAGAGAGTTCCACTGCTGAACAGCTCTCACAGTCAGGAAGTTCTTCCTCATGTTCAGATGGAATCTCCTTTCTTTCCTGTAATTTGAAGCCATTGCTCCATTGCGTCCTAGTTTCCAGGGAAGCAGAAAACTAGTTGCTTCCTTCTCCCTATGACTTCCTCTTTGATCGTGGGTGAACTACAACTCCCAACATCCTTGGTTATTTTCCCTCCAGTATTTTCAATTTACCATGTTAGGTTTGTGTGCCAAGTTTTGTTCAGACCTGTTGTTGGCAGGAGTCACAGGGCTCTCTGGAGGTGAGTGCCATCTTTGGAGATGGATGGGAGGATGGTTGAATGGGTGTATAGAGTGTCTATCCCCCCCCCATGGGCCCCCTCCCCAAGTTCCTCAGGGATGCTGCCCCTCCTGTGCTGGAAGAGAGGCTTCTACTGCTGTGCTGGTACGGCTGTACCAGGAGCTCCAACTTTATTTTCTTTTTGTTATCTGTTTGCAGTCATAGGGCAGGCCTCCTGTCCATCATAATTAAGCTTTGGTTCTGCCCCTTGTTCAGGGCTCTGGGAGGGAAAGGAGCAATTTTTTGGGGCAGTCTCTCATAAGGAAGCTAAACTATAGGACGTAGACCAGCTCGTCCCGTAGAAAAGCTTCTTTTCTCAAGAACATCTGGGGAAGCAGAAACAGAAATTTCAGGGAAAAGGTCCCAAGGCTCTGGCTGAGAGCTCACAGCCTCTCAGCCTCACAGCAATCAGAGGGAAAACAGCCCTGAAGTTTTCAAAGAATTCTCTGAGGGAGGACAGCACTACAGATCCACGGAACTCCATCTGAAATATCTACAAGCCTCGGCTGGTAGGTCTACTTGATACCCAGACGCATTTGGAATCGGTAGTAGGACCCACACCGATGAGGCATAGATAGTAAACAGCCTGGGAGAGGTTAAAAAGGGGTTTTTTTCTACAGAGAAAGTACAGTTAATCAAAGTCAGGTGCCAGTCCATTGAGGACTAGACTAAGAAAGCCTTGAAGTGTTGTTTGAACCATTGAAGATTTGATGTTTGTTCCATAATAAAGACTTTGTTGTATCATTAAAGACTCTAAAGACCATCACTTCAGAAAAATCCCTGAGAACCTCTCTTTGAGGCCCCCTGGCTTCCCGCTGGGCTTAAAGTATACGTCCTATAGAAAAGACAGCTGTTACAGGCCCAGCGCGCAACAGAACAGGAGTGGTATGCAGTGAACGCTTAATGTGTTGTTTTGTTTTGCTGCTGCTCTAGGAGTCTGTTGTATGTCCTCCCTGACCCCGTTTGGCATCTCATTCCTGGTCCATCTTGAAGCGGCTATTGCACAGCTCTTGTCTCTGTCCCCTGACCCCCATCAATGGGGCATGACAAAATTGCACCTGTTCCCTCCCCAATGGATCAATTGTGTTTGGCAAGAACCACGTCTCCTCATGTCGCAGCATAAATAAGTAAACAAAGCTGGAACTCCCAAATCCAACTATGTATTTATTCATTCACCACCTGTTTACCCAAAGGTGCACAGTAAAAGCCATCTAACAGATTTAAAACAGTACAGATGGTAAGTATGCCATTAAAGCTCTTTTAAAACACATGCATAATAGGCAAGGTTAGGATTTTGCAAAATCAGTCTGGAAGAGCAATAGAAGGCAAAAGCTCTAGAGGTTTTAGGGTCTCTCTACAATTGTCGCTTCACCAAATCAGCTGGGTGTCTCCTTCTCCTTCTGGTTGAATGAGAGGAGAGAGTTCCCTCAGGGATACGCAGAACTGGGAAAGGCCCTCTCCCAAAGGCCTGGACGGAGGTATTAATGGGCATTGGGAGTGCTGGGATAGGACTCTGGAGACTAGGGTGTGGATCCCACTTGGCCATGGAAGCCCACTATGTGGCCCTGGGCAAGTCACACTCTTTCAGCCTCAGAGGAAGGCAACGACAAACCTCCTCTGAGGAAATATTACCCAAAAGGTGAAGCAAACTCAGAAACAGCTTGAAGGCACAGAAGAAGAGCAACCAATCTCAGCCATCATATAGGTTTACTTCTTTGGCTGATGCTGGAATGCATCAGTTGCTGGTTGCCAGATGGATGGATGGATGGATGGATACATACTGGTGGAGGACCGAGTTGGCTGCATCTAGTCTCTTTGGTTTGGGTTCCCAGTGGGGTTCTATGGGGGAGTCAGGACTGAGGAAATGGGGGGCTCTTGCGGCTGATGGCGGCAGGGAAGCTGGCCTTAGATGTGATAGCGAGAGCGGCAAATTAGGGGAGGTCATTGCGGAGGCTGTTGCAGGGAAAGGAGCTCCCCTCTTTCTCACCTGAGGAAGGAAGCAGAGTTATTCATTAATTTATTATTATTATTAGTGCTATATTTATTTATTTATGACATTGATATGCCGCCCTTCTCACCCCAAAGGGGGCTCAGAGCAGCATACAAGCTATATATACATACAATATATTATATTATTAGCATAGTACAATATCAGTATTAAACATTACTATATTGTACTACACCATTATATTGTAATATTATTAGTAATATTACATGTAATATAAATATATAATTATATAATATTATTATTAGTATTATATTGCATTACATTAGGGTTAGGAGGGTTGAGCAGGATGCAATGCACATTTGGAGTATAGATTAATTGAAGCATCCCTGGAGCAGGTGGGGTCCCAGTGGGGCTCAAAGTCAGGATAGATCCCAAGACTCCAATCCCCCCTCCCAAGGAAAGACTCCTTGCCCCCACTTCCTCCATTGCAAAGTTATTTCCATTGGGGGAGATGCTATGCCGTTGCTTCTCAATTCAGCTGAGTTGCTGATGCAAAACAGTCTGGACTCACTGGACGCCTCTCCGTCTGCTGCGGCTGTTGCGCTCGGTCATCCCCATGGCCTTGAAGAAGAGGACGGTGCCCACGATGATGCCCAGGATGCCGATGGCCAGGCCCAGGCCGCAGAGCACGTTCTCGGACGTCTCCGGGAGTGGAACGGGCCCCTTGGACTCTGCGGGTGGGACAAGAGAAGGTGGAGGTGGGGGAATGTGACACAGCTCCTTCCCACTCAGTCTCGGAACCCCACCGTACATCTACTCATCTGCATTGGTTATGTGCTATCACAAAGTTACCACATATCAAGCCAGTGGTAGTTGTTCCCTTTCGTTGGAGTTGTTGCCTTTCTGCCATTCAGCGCATCCCTTCCTTCCTGGCCTGCAAGTGTCTATCTGCCAAAGGAGGGTCTCCTGAAAGAGGCAGCACTCCACCAAAACCTCCCTTTAGCAAAACATGAGTACTTACAAAACTAGGGGGCTCTGGTGCTTTATTTCTAAAGTGTTTCTAAAGTTTTGGTGGTGAAAATTTAAGAACTCTAACAAAACTTTCAAAATTTCACCACTGTTAGCTTGCCAAATTTCACAATGTTTGACTTATCCACTGATTTTTTGTGGAGTTTTTATAAAACATTTTTTTAATAATAAAGAACATCTGTTCCTGGTTTGAAAGGGTTATTTCCTGTTTCACTGTATGGTCTTTACTCCTGAAACTTTATTTTTGAGGCAGAAACTCTGTTAAATTGGTGGAAACTCAACAAACCCAAATGTGCTATAGGGCGATGTCCCTTGCACAAAGACAAAGTTTTTGCAGTGTAATAAACTTTTGCCATGTTTTTAGGACAGAACCAGTTAGGAACTGCCATTTATAACAAAATTTTGAAAGTTTTGTTAGAGTTCTGAAATTTTCACCACCAAAACGTTAGAAACCCTTTAGAAAAAAGCACCAGTGCCCCCTAGTTTTGTAAGTACTTTAGAACCATGGATTGCACATGCCTATTAGTTTTGTCCTGCATTTCAATGCCTTAACTATGAACCTGTGGGGTTGGACTGGGTGACCCTTGTGGTCTCTTCCAACTCTTTGGTCCTAGGAAGTGCCGGAGTGGCCTGAGTGTTGGACTGCAGGTTCCAAGACCAGGGTTCATTGCCCTTCTTGGTCATGGCAACCAAGGGGTGGCCTGTGAGAGTGAAGGAATCTCAGCCCCTGAAAACCCCATGATAGGGTCACCTGAAGCCAGAAACAACAACAACAACAACAACACATTGGAAGGGCAGGTTGGAGTTCAGAGATGAGTGGGAGGAAACGTGTCACCCTATTTGTCACCAAAATGGTCTTCACATTGACTCTCTGTTGGGTCCAGGGGACTTTGGGCCCTGCAAAATGAGAAGCCAGGGCTGTTGTTACCCCACAACAACTCCATCCCCTTTCTTGCCCTGAAAATCACCACCAAAATGGGATTCCCTAAACCGTAAGCAAAACCTTAAACTAAAAAGAATCCCAATTCTGAAAGGAGGGGGAAGCTGAGTCCAGCATCTCCCTGTCTCCACAACAAGACCAAAAAGAGCCAAACCTGCTGACTTACCCCATATTGTGGTCAGGGGCCCTTCCAGCCCCCAGTGCTCCACTCGGCAAGTGTAGAAGTCTCCATCTTCTGGGACGAAGGGCAGGTAGGAGAACTTGGAGAAGGCGTTATCTTCACTGGGGAGGAAGCCCGTCTCCTTCACCCCCTCGGAGACCACCTCCCCATTCTTCAGCCAGGTCACGTTCAGCACTGGAGGGAAGAACCGGTCCATGAAGCAGATGAGGACGTTGGGGTCTCCCAGCTCCACAGGGTCTTCAGGGAACACCTTGGCCGAAGGGGCAGCTGGCAAAGGGAGACAAGCAAGAGCAAAGCTCCTTGGGATGAGCCTATGTGTCAGTTGTGTCCGTACCTTGGGAAGTCAGACTTGGCCATGGTGGTCCATGCTGTTACATCCTGAATAGATTAATGCAATACACTCTACAATGTCTCTCACCCTGGACACTATTCCATGGGTATATAAACCCCACTTGCCGTTGGGTTATTTTTACAATGAAGCATGCATTTAGAAACAACAACAACAACAACAATAATAATAATAATAATAATAAACTTTATTTATACCCCATCTTTTCTCTAGTCACTATGTTCTGTTGCTGAAAGCTAACACTCCAACAATTTATTGATTGGAATGCAATATTCCTGCTTCTTGGCAGAATGGGGTTGGACTGGATGGCCCAGGAGGTCTCTTCCAACTCTTGGATTCTATGATCATAAAGTTGCATGCTGGGATATCAGAGAGAGAAGGTTGACACTGAATACATGGTATTGCTCCTCTTTGAAGTGACTGGCTTGACCTTGAAGGAGACCCTGGGGGTGGCGACGGTCGACAGGGAGCTCTGGCCTGGCCTGGTCCATGAGGTCAGGAAGAGTCGGAAGCGACTGAACAAATAAACAACAACACCTCTCGTAACAACTTCAAAGTGAGGCCACTGAACCAAGCACAGCAGAAGGCATGGCCATGAATGGAGAGGGTGGGCCTCCCCTTCTGCGGTGGACTTGCAAGAAGAGTGACAGCTTGGTGGGGTTCCTCCCTGGTGTGAGAGGCCTCCTGGCCATGAATGACAAAGGCCTTGTGCCAGCAGGAGGGGCAGGGCTGAGGGCAGGCCCGTAGCCAGGATTTCATTAGGGGGGGGGGGGCTAAAAAATTTTCAGGGGGGGTTTCGGGGGGGTGAGTTTCGGGGGGGCTGAGTCTGAGTGAAAGAGGGTCTAGCCTAGCAAACCTTTTGTATCATTACCCCAATACCCCCATGCATATGGGATATATTGAGTACGGTGATCAGATCATGATATGAATAAACATAACAGTTTAAATAATGCACCAGTAAGGCCTTTTCGCGAACCACCATGAGAATTTCGGGGGGGGGGGCTGAAGCCCCTCAAGCCCCCCCCCCCCCCCCCCTGCGTGGCGGGGGAGAAGAAGGACGGGCATGCTCCCCCGTCCAGGGAGGGGGGGGGAGAAGACCGGCAAGGGCTGCCTCTCCTCCAAGGAGGGGGCCCGACGGGGAGGGGGCTGGGCAGGGCAGGGCAGGGCAGGGGGACTCCGGGGTCAGGCCTGTACCGTTCTGGCCGCGCGTCCCGTTGCTGAGCTTCATTAAGATCTCCAGGTTCTTCTTGTCCACGGAGAAGCTGCCCAGGGCCTGCGCGGCCTCGAAAGGGAAGAAGTGGGCGATTTCGGGGAGGTTCCAGGAGACGCTCTTCCGGGCCCAGTCCACCTGGACGGTGGCCTCGCCCTCGAACTCGTCCAGGTACTCGCCCGCCTCCGCCGCCTCCGCCGTGGGCCCCTGTCCCGGGAAGCTCTTCAGGAAGAAGTCCATGCCCACATAGTTGGGTGCCTCTGTCAGAAAAAGGAGAAGAAGCCGCGTGTTGGGGGGAGCGCTCTTGGAGGGGGGAAGGCAGCCAGCCAGGCAAACCCAGACTTCCTCCCCCTCCCGGGAACAGGGCCCCCTGCCCCCTCGCCCCCTCCCCAAGTGCTCACTTTCCGCGGCGAGACGGGGGAGGGCGAGGAGGAGGAGGAGGGCGGCCAGGAGGGCGAGGGGCGCGGGCAGCGCTCGGGGAACAGCCGGGCCCGTCATTCTCGCTCCCTGTGGGCTCTGCTGGGGGGCTCCGGGCGGAGAAGTGGCCCCGTCGGAAGAAAAGCCGGCGCCTCCGCCACGCCCCTCCCGCCGAGGGCCAGCCAATGGGGAAAAGGCCCGCCGCTGACTCTTCTGTTGCCGGGCAGAACTCTCCGGGAAGGAGCCCCAGAGCAGGGCCAGGAAAAAAAAAACAACTCGGGGGGGGGGGGGGGTGTTCTGTGACCAAGAAGGGAAATGAACCCTGGTCTCTGGAGCTGTAGTCCGACACTCAAGCCATGGTGGCGCTTCCCAGGACCAAAGAGTTGGAAGAGACCATAAGGGCCCCCCAGTCCAACCCCACAGGTTCATTGTTAAGGCTTCGCAATCAGGAGCAAAACGGGGGTCTTCAAATGCCCTACCAACTTATGCCTACCTGCTGGAATTGGCTGTAAGTTTTAGTTGCATCTGAACTTAGAAAACGATATGCACTAACTTCATGGAGATATAATGTGTAGAAAAAAAAAATATCAATGAGCTGTTGTCAATGAGCTGGCAGCCCAAATCTGGGAGGTCTGGGGTGTAGCATTTTTCCGAATGAAGCAGAGAGTCGAAGGCTTTCATGGCTGGAATCACTCAGTTCTTGTGGGTTTTTTCGGGCTATATGGCCATGTTCTAGAGGCATTTCTCCTGACGTTTCACCTGCATCTATGGCAAGCATCCTCAGAGGTGAGGTCTGCTGGAACTGGGAAAAAAGGGGTTTATATATCTGTGGAATGACCAGGGTGAGACAAAGGGCTTTTGTAAGTTGGGCTAGGTGTGAATCTTTCAACTGACCACCTTGATTAGCATACAATGGGCTGACTGTGCCTGGAGCAAACTCTTCTTGAAGGGTGATTAGATGTCCCTGCCTGTTTTTCTCCCTGCTGTTTTTGCTGTTGCAATTTTAGAATTTTTTTTTTAATACTGGTAGCCAGATTGTGTTCATTTTCATGGTTTCTTCCTTTCTGTTGAAATTGTCCACATGTTGTGGATTTCAATGGCTTCTCTGTGTAGTCTGACATGGTGGTTGTGAGAGTGGTCCAGCATTTCTGTGTTCTCAAATAATATGCTGTGTCCAGGCTGGTTCCTCAGGTGCTCTGCTATGGCTGACTTCTCTGGTTGAAGGAGTCTGCAGTGCCTTTCATGTTCCTTGATTCGTGTCTGGGCAATGCTGCGTTTGGTGGTCCCTATGTAGACTTGTCCACAGCTGCATGGTACACAATGGTAGACTCCTGCAGAGGTGAGAGGATCCCTCTTGTCCTTTGCTGAACGGAGCATTTGTTGGATTTTCTTGGTGGGTCTGTAGATTGTTTGTATGTTGTGTTTCCTCATCAGCTTCCCTCTGCGGTCAGTGGTTCCCTTGATGTGTTGGCAGGAACAGGTTTGTGGGGGGCTTCAGCCCCCCCCCCGAAATTCTCATGGTGGTTCGTGAAAAGGCCTTACTGGTGCATTATTTAAACTTATGTTTATTCATATCATGATCTGATCACCATACTCAATATATCCCATATGCATGGGGGTATTGGGGTAATGATACAAAAGGTTTGCTAGGGTAGACCCTCTTTCACTCAGACTCAGCCCCCCCCGAAACTCAGCCCCCCCCGAAACCCCCCCTGAAAAAAAATTCAGCCCCCCCCCCCCGAAACGAAATCCTGGCTACGGTCCCTGATGTATGGCAGGAACACTTTTCCTCTGGGTGGATCTTCATCTTTACTCTCGTGGCTTGTTCTTGGTCTTGCAGCTCTTCTGATGTCTGAGGTGGAGTATCCATTGGCCTGGAGAGCCCAGTTGAGGTGGCTCAACTGGGCTCTACAGGCCAATGGATATTCCACCTCAGACATCAGAAGAGCTGCAAGACCAAGAACAAGCCACGAGAGTCAAGATGAAGATCCACCCAGAGGAAAAGTGTTCCTGCCATACATCAAGGGAACCACTGATCGCATAGGGAAGCTGATGAGGAAACACAGCATACAAACAATCTACAAACCCACCAAGAAAATCCAACAAATGCTAAGTTCAGCAAAGGACAAGAGGGATCCTCTCACCTCTGCAGGAGTCTACCGTATACCATGCAGCTGTGGACAAGTCTACATAGGGACCACCAAACGCAGCATTGCCCAGACACGCATCAAGGAACATGAAAGGCACTGCAGACTACTTCAACCAGAGAAGTCAGCCATAGCAGAGCACCTGATGAACCAACCTGGACACAGCATATTATTTGAGAACACAGAAATGCTGGACCACACCAACAACCACCATGTCAGACTACACAGAGAAGCCATTGAAATCCACAAGAAACATGTGGACAATTTCAACAGAAAGGAAGAGACCATGAAAATGAACAAAATCTGGCTACCAGTATTAAAAAACTCTAAAATTACAACAGCAGAGAGAAAAACCAGGCACATCTAATCACCTTTCAAGAAGAGTTTGCTCCAGGCACAGTCAGCCCATTGTATGCTAATCAAGGTGGTCAGTTGAAAGATTCACACCTAGCCCAACTTACAAAAGCCTTTTGTCTCACCCTGGTCATTCCACAGATATATAAACCCCTTCTTTCCCAGCCCCAGCAGACCTCACCTCTGAGGATGCTTGCCATAGATGCAGGCGAAACGTCAGGAGAGAATGCCTCTAGAACATGGCCATAGAGCCCGAAAAAACCCACAAGAACTGAGTAAAGAAATAGCACATTAATTCATCTCTTCGTCGGGAGCCTTTTGGGAAATTGTTCCCTGGCGACTGATGACGCGGGTGTGGCGCTGTGCCTGATTGGCCCTCTCCCGGAGCCATGGAGGAGGAGGGGTCCCTGGCTTGGAGGGACTTTTCCCCCGAGGGCGCCGCCCCAGAAAGGCCCCGTCCCCAGCTGGAGGAGGAGGCAGCGGGAAAGCTCCGTCCGCGCTCTCCTGCCGTCGAGGGAGCCGGTCTGGGCTGCTCCTGGCCATGAGTCGCTTTCTGTGGGGCTGGGCCTGGGCGGCGCGGCTGGGGGCGCTGCTCCTCTTGGCCAGGGCGGCAGAGGAGGGGGGCCCTCCAGGTGAGCCGCCGCCTTCTCCTTCTTTCCTTCCCGGAGGGGGAGGGGACAAGGGGCGCAGAGGGGCCTGCCCCCCGGTCTCGGCATGCCCTGCCCTTCCTTCCTTCCCTCCTTCCGGGGGGGGGGGGTTCCCGAGGTCCCCTTCCTGTCATGTCTGGTGGGCTGGGGGAGGGGGGAGGCGAAGGGCGTCAGGGCGCTCCCCAGGGAATTCCTCTCTCTCTCTCTCTCTCTCTCCCCCTCTCGCAGCCCATTTCCTGTTCCAAGTGAGGGAAGAGTGTTTCTTCCCCAACGGGACGGGCCCCGGGGCGGAGGGGCGCCTCCTGTTCCGCGCCATCTACAACCGGCAGGACCTCTACCACTTCGACAGCGCCCTGGGCCGGTACGTGACCCTCGCGCCCATGATCCAGTCCAACGTGGACAGGTTCAACCGGGACCCGGACGCGCTGCGGGCCGCGAAGGCCGAGGTGGACCGCTTCTGCCGCCACAACTACGGCCTCATCCAGCCCTTCGCCCTCGGCAGGAAAAGTGAGCCCCCGGTGCCCCCCTCCTCGGGAAGTGGGATGGCGTTGGGAGGAGGTGTTTCTGCACCTTCCTCCTAATCCCCTGAATCCACTCACTCGTGCTGTAGTGACCCCACCCCCCCAACCATAAAGTTATTTTCATTGCTACTTCCTAACTGTAACGAATTGTAATGTGAATACCTGATACCTGTGTATTTTCAGTCACTGGACCAAATTTGGAGCCCCCCAGCGGCACCCTGGGTTAAACCCCTGAGCTGCTGAACCTGAAAGGTTGCAGGTTCAAATGTGGGGAGTGGGGTGAGCTCTATCTGTCAGCCCCAGCTTCAGCCAGGCTGGCAGTTCAAAAACATGCAAATGCAAGTAGATCAATAGGTACGGCTTTGGTGCGAAGGTAGCAGCACTCCATGCAGTCATGCCAGTGGCCACAGGACCTTGGAAGTGTAGACACCCCCACCAAACGGAGATGAGCACCAAAGGCCCAGAGTCAGACACAACTGGACCATGCCAGGAGATTACCTTTTTGCTGGAGAGCAGATGCAAGAAGCTTATGCTACGACCTCACCTCTGAGGATGCTTGCCATAGATGCAGGCAAAACGTCAGGAGAAATGCCTCTAGAACATGGCTCTATAGCCCGAAAAAACCCACAAGAACCTAGTATACTTACAGTCCATTGAGCTATTATTACCAGTCTGGTGGCCATTTATCTAGCCATATGCTAATGATTACTTCGCTTAACTTACCCAAATCCACTTCCAAGCTATAGTCAACATTGTCAATTGTCCTTTTAACCTAATTGCCCAAAGGCCTAGTCCCGCATCCACGTTTTTACCTTCTTTCTAAAGATGAGGAGGGATGATGGTGATCTAATTTCCCCGGGAAGTGAATTCCAAAGGCGGGGCCACCACCAAGAAGACCCTGTCCCAGATGTGGGGCAAACAGCATGGCTGGAATCACTGGCTTGTTGGCTTGTTGTAGGTTTTTCGGGCTATATGGCCATGTTCTAGAGGCATTCTCTCCTGACGTTTTGCCTGCATCTATGGCAAGCATCCTCAGAGGTAGTGAGGTCTGTTGGAACTAGGAAAATGGGTTTATATATCTGTGGAAAGACCAGGGTGGGACAAAGAACTCTTGTCTGCTAGGAGCTAAGTGTGAATGTTTCAACTGACCACCTTGATGAGCATTGGATGGCCTGGCAGTGCCTGGGGCAATCTTTTGTTGAGAGGTGATTAGATGTCCCTGATTGTTTTCTCTCTGCTGTTTTGCTGTTGTAATTTTAGAGTTTTTTAATACTGGTAGCCAGATTTTGTTCATTTTCATGGCTTCCTCTTTTCTGTTGAAATTGCCCACATGCTTATGGACACAACCTCTGAGGATGCTTGCCATAGATGCTTGCCACAGATGCAGGTGAAATGTCAGGAGAGAATGCTTCTAGAACATGGCCATATAGCCCGAAAAACCTACAACAACCCACTTTATCTTTTTATTTAGGATGTATTTTCATTCACTGGACCAAATTTGGCACAAATACCCAATATGCCTGAATTTGAATACTGGTGAGGTTTTGGGGGGGGGGGGGTCGATTTTATCATTTGGGAGTTATCATTGCTGCCAAAGGGGTTCCAAAGACCATCAGAAATATGTGTTTTCTTATGGTCTTTGGCGACCCCTCTGACACCCCTGTCATGACCCCCCCCCCCAGGGATCCCAACCCCCAGAAACTCTGCCCTAGACTGTCTAGGAAGGGGAGGGGGAGGCTGGCCACCACCTGAATCTCCCCCAAGGTGACTTGGAGGAGGAGGGGTCACTCTCAGGCCTGAAAGGAAGGGAGGGTGGGAAGATGTCCTTCTTGCATGGAAGGTCCCTTTGTCCTCATCAGCACCAGTTTGGAATCACCAGGTCCTTCCACGCCAAACCTGCAAAGGTTTCCATTCCCCTTAAAGACACTAGGCGGCTTGTCTCTGGTCAAGCAGGACAGCAAGTGGCAAAAAGTAGGGGAAACCCTGAGAGGATTCTAAGAGTCTAAAAGGAAGATCTAAAATAGAAAGAAAGGAGATTCCACCTGAACATGAGGAAGAACTTCCTGACGGTGAGAGCTGTTCAGCAGTGGAACTCTCTGCCCCAGAATGTGATAGAAGCTCATTTTTGGAGGCTTTGAAACAGAGGCTGGATGGCCATCTGTCAGGAGCCTCCACCACACTCCAGGGCAGAGAGTTCCACTGCTGAACGGCCCTCACAGTCTCCCACCAGTTGCACTTGGGGCAGGGGTGGGACTGAAAACATGCTAGCCTAATGGCTCTTCTGTTGTAACTCAATGGGAACACAGAGTGTTGTGTGATTTCCAGATTGTATTGGCGTGTTTTAGTATTGATTTCCAGGCTGTATCGCTCTGTTCTATACTGGTGTTTCGCCTGCACTTGTGGCTGGCATCTCCAGGGGAAAACATGCTGCTAGATCACAGCCTTACAGCCCGGAAACCACACAACCTCGCATTGATTCCGGCTGTGAAAGCCTTCGGCAATACATTAGAAACATGCATCCTCTCCATCCTTTTGTTAAGAACTCTGTCATTCTATGAGTACAGGGAGAAGAGGCAGTGAGTAGTGCGTCATGCACGTTGGGGCAAGCAGGGCCAAGTGAAGGCAGGCACGGGGTTGCTAAAATTACACCACACACAACAGGACAAGACCAAAAGTAGTGGAAGAAAAGAAGAGACAAGACCTGCAAAAAGTAGAAAAAGTGAGGATTAGATATCAAATGTTTGCATGTGTGTGCGTGCAAAATTATATAGCACACAGGCCCTGTTCAACAGGGAGTCTTCACCAGTGTCCACTTTAAGTCTGATGGTCTGAACACAAAGTTCCTCCAAACAGGTCCAGCTTCTGTTTACATTAAAGATCAGGTGGGACTCTGGGTCATTTTCCCCGTTCAACGGTTTATATCCCATTGTCATTCTCCCGAGTCTGTACCAAAGTCAACTTATGGGTCACCTCATTGTAAAGGAGGGTAAAATTACTGCCACCAAATTTGTGAGGGAAGCCAGGCAATGATCAATATTAGCTTAGGAGCTGGTTTATAAAGGGACTATTATTTACAGAAGGCTTTATTCATTTGATAGCGTAGCGTTTACTGTCCCTGGTTTGACTTTATTTCTTATGCAGGCTGTTTGACTTAGGAGAAACTGTATCAGGCAAGGCTTGAGGAAAACAGTAACAAGTTTATTGGAACAAGCAAGGTATAACAGATTCGATGTTTCTTCTCTAGAGGCACAAATCTTGATAGGTTACATTAGTAAGGTTTCATGAGTAACTTTAGGTACAGACTTTAAGAGATTTCTTTGAGTAGATATATCTTTCTTCAACAAGCGTTCTTTTACTACAAATAAGCCACCTGACTTATCTAACTCACAGCCAAACCCTGATTCTTAATATTAAAGAACCAGTCTTCCCTATAGTTCTCTAACTATAATATTCCTGATGGTTTTCCACACACCACAGGATCAACTACCTCTCCTGTAACTCTTTGGTCACAGACTAGTTCCCTGTTTCTCCCACTAGAGAAATCAAGTCTTCTCTGTAGCTCACCGGCTTACAGACTGCCACTTTCAAAAAGCTGCGCCGTGAAGTGACAGTTGGCTCCGTCCCCGTTGCTATGGCAACTCAGCTCAGGCTAAATCAGCCACCATCTCTAACAAAATATAATCCTACATACTTATCATTTATTAACTACTGTTTAAACAACACATAACCATAGGAATAAAAATACACATCGTCACACTCATGAATTTGGTGGGGTTTTTCTTGGGCCAGGAATCTTCAGAGGAGGCTTTGACAGCTCCTTCTGCTGAAACTGAGCTTCCAGCCCCCAGGATTCCCTGTTGGTCTCCCATCCAAAGACTGACTCTGACTGCCCCTGCTTAGATCAGACAGGACCTGGTGCTTTAATTTTTGATGTGGGCTGAGCAAGGCCCCAAGGACCCTTTGAAGCCCCCTCCTCCCGAGGAAATCAGGGCATAGCGATCCCACACTAGGCCCAGGTCACATTACAACAATTGTGTTGCATGGGTCCTGTGAGGCGAGAGGCCAGCACATCACACAAATACATCCTACCTAATGGATGGTTTCAAGTCCTCCAGTAGGTTCTCCATCCCATGCCAGCAGGCATATTGGACATTCCAATCACCACCCCCTCCTTTCACTTGACGTCCTCTATGACTTGACTGTGGGTTTTGGCCATCACTTCCTCTGCTTCTTTCCTCTCCAGTTCCACCCAAGATGAAGATCACCCCCACCAACTCCGGGGCCTTCTCCTCCTCCCGTAACACCATGCTGATCTGTACGGTGGACCACTTTTTCCCAGTCAAGATCACAGTCCGGTGGCTCAGGAACGGGAAGGAAGAAGAGGAAGTCATGACCACACCAGTCATGGACAACGGAGACTGGACCTATCGGATCCTGGTGATGCTGGAGACTCAGCCGGAGAAGGGAGACGTCTACACCTGCCAAGTGGAGCACGCTAGCTCTGCCAGCCCTGTCTCTGTGGAGTGGAGTAAGACATTCAGCACCAAAGGCAGCCCCAGGGAGGGAACCCTTGGGGACATCTCATGGACCTCCAAAGAATGAGGGACCCTAACATCCCCATCACACAGTTCTTCCCAATGTGGTTTTTGGAGGTGTTGGGGGGACTGATGCCCTGCCGCTTTTTAATCCTATGCTTCCTCCTCCTCTACCTCTACCTCTTCCTCTTCTGCAGAGCCCCAGTCGGATGCCGCCAAGAGCAAGATGTGGACTGGGATCGTGGGCCTGGTCCTGGGGGTGGTCTTTGTAGCTGCGGGGTTCTCCCTCTACGTCAAGAAAGGTGAGGCTGTGAACATGGCATCCTGTGGACCACTCCTGAAGGGTCCTCATGGTGCTCAGGGTGGTCAGGTGTTTGGGCTTCATCTCCAGGCATCCCCCCTCACCAGAGGCCATGTTGGCTTGTTTCTCTGGAGACCCAATCCAGGGCAGCCTGAGAAACCCAAGGCCAAAAGATGTTGGATTCCTCAAGAAGGGGGGATGTAGAGGGAGATGATTTGGACAGGTAAGCTGGGCCGGAACCATATAGGACTTTATAGGTCAAGACCAGCACTTTGAATTCTGCTCCGAAATGGATGTGCAGCCAGTGGAGCTGACATAACAGGGGGGTGTTGTGCTCCCTGTATGTCGCTCCAGTGAGTAACCTGGACCATTTGAAGCTTCCGAACAGTCTCCAAAGTCTTCAAAGTTGCGTGTTCCAGTGAAGCCAGCAGAGTCATGGACTCCCGGGATGGGGGGTGGGGGTCGGGTTTCTGTTGGCAAAGGGCTCCAGAGAAGGAAGACCCTACTGCCTGGCCTCTATCGCAGTCCTCCTCCTCCTCTGCCTTACTCCATACCTTCCAAGGACATGAGGTGTAGAGTCGGGAGGGGGGTTGGGAGCAAAGCATACAACCCCCTCCCCATATTCACACCTGGGAGAGACCTTTCTTTGAGGCACCTTCTTCCCTTCTTTTGTCTCTTCCCTTCCTTCTGAAGCCTTGGTAGGTGGTGGGTGTGCGTGTGTGTTGGGGGGGGGGCTTTATTTGGGAGAGACTTTGACCCTAACTGGACCCTTCTCCCCTTCCTCCCTCTCTTTTCCAGGCTGTGCTGTGCCCCCTCCCACAGGTAAGGCTCACTCTTCTCTTTTGGGGGCATAAAGCTTGGATTGGGGGGATTCCCAGAGAGAGAAAGCCTCTCATTACAGAGGGGCCCCCACTTTGAAGCCCCTGCCCCTTCGGATGAGGAGAGGAAGCTGTGGGGGGAGGGTCCTGGAAAGGAATCTCCTTTGCAGAGAAAAATCAATGCGGTATAAATGAAAATTATCATCATCATCACAAATCATCATCATCATCATCATCATCATCACAAATCATCATCATCATCACAAATAATAATAATAATAATAGTCATCATAATCATCATCATCATCATAAATAATAATTATGTGGCCTGCAGAATACATATCATAATGGTGCAGTGGGTTAAACCGCTGAGCTGCTGAACTTGCTGATCGAAAGCTTTCAGGTCCAAATCTGGGCAGCGGTGTGACTTCCTGCTGTTAGCCCCAGCTTTTGCCAACCTAGCAGTTCAAAACCATGTAAATGTGAGTAGATCAATAGGTACCACTTCGGCAGCACTCCATGCAGTCATGCCAGTGGCCACATGACCTTGGAGGTGTCTACGGACAAAGCTGGCTCTTCGGCTTAGAAATGGAGATGAGCACCAGAGTCCCAGAGTCAGGCACGACTGGACTTCATGTCAAGGGGATACCTTTTACCTTTTCAATGTAGAAATAAGTAGCCACAGCTCCTGGGAGTGGGATGAGCTCCCGCTGTTAGCCCCAGCTTCTGCCAACCTAGCAGTTCGAAACCATGCAAATGTGAGTAGATCCTGTAGGAAAGTAAGGGCGCTCCATGCAGTCATGCCCATAGCCACATGACCTTGGAGGTGTCTAAGGACAACGCCGGCTCTTCAGCTTAGAAATGGAGATGAGCACCAGAGTCCCAAAGTTGGACACGACTGGACTTCATATCAAGGGGAAACCTATACCTTTACCTACATATAATAATGAACATAATGAGGCCTTTTGTTTCCCTGGCCTCGGTGGGCCACATTCTCCCAGCCCCCCACCCCCACCTTAACACATCCAGATGGGAAAGGGAAGGAGGGCATACAACAACAACAACAGCTCAGTCAGGGCCCTGGGACCAAAGGGGCCCCTTTGGGGGGGAGGCAGGGTGGGAGGGGGTGGAGGGGTTCCTGGGCTTCCCTGGTGGCAGAGGGAGGCCCCTCCCTTTGGGGGGATATGGGGTCCCCTAGAGCCTCCTTCCCCTTTGCCTCCAATTGGCCCCTCTCTCTTCTCCCTCCCTTCCAGTGGGACTCATGGAGTAGAGATCCTCCTCCTCCTGCAAAGAGAGCGCCTTCCTTCCTTCCTCCGCCGCCAACCTCAGAAGAGCTTCTCCCCTCGGGACCCCACTCGACCCTCCTTCGGCAAAAGGAACTGCAAATCCACCTCTTTCTGCAACCCAGCCCTCATCTCCATGTCTCTCCCTGCGCCTCAATCCATCAATAAAGAGATACTTTCCACTCCTTCCTTCTTTCCTGGTCTGTCAGTCCATGCCTCGCTTTCGTTTGGCGCTTTCTTGGGCAGCATGTCTGGGAGGAGGGGTGGGCTAGCTGGTTTCCAGGATCCCTCCCGATCACCTTTGGTCCAGATTCAGCATCGGTACAACTCTCCAGATGTGGCTGGAGTGTCACTTCCATCATCCTCTGTCAATTCCCCCCAAACGCCATTGGTATTTTAAGTTGGCCATGATGGATCTGTATGCCAGGTTTAGTCCAGATCAGTGTTTCTCAACCTGGGGGTCGGGACCCCTGTGGGGGTTGCGAGGGGGTTTCAGAGGGGTCACCAAAGACCATAAAAAAACACAGTATTTTCTGTTGGTCATGGGGGTTCTGTGTGGAAAGTTTGGTCCAATTCTATCATTGGTGGGGTTCAGAATGCTATTTCATTGTGGGTGAACTATAAATCCCAACAACTACAACTCCCAAATGGCAAGGTCTATTTTCTCCAAACTCTACCAGTGTTCACATTTGGGCATATTGAGTATTTGTGCCAAGTTTGATCCAGATCCATCATTGCTTGAGTCCACAGTCTGGATATAGGTGAACTACAACTCCAAAAACTCAAGGTTAATGTCCACCAGACCTTCCCAGTATTTTCTCTTGGTCATGGGAATTCTGTGTGCCATGTTTGATTCAATTCCATCATTGATGGAGTTCAGAAGGCTCTTTGATTTAAGGTGAACTATAAATCCCAGCAACTACAGGATTACCAAATAACAAAATCAATCACCAGTATTCAAATTTGGGTGTATTGCGGTATTTGTGCCAAATTTGGTCCAGTGAATGAAAATACATCCTGCATATCAGATATTATACATTCATAACAGTAGCAAAATTACAGTTATGAAGTAGCAATGAAAATAATGTTAGGGGGTCACCACACACGCAATGAGGCATCTAAAGGCCTTCCCTCTCCTGACCCTCCTACCCCCACGCGCGGAACCGCTGAGCGAGAAGGTGAGAACCACTGGTCAGATCATGGACGTGGGATTTCTGCGCATACACCGTGCTCTGCCTGCGGATGTGAAAAACTACAGTCCACTACACCATGGTCCATTTCCCCAATCCACAGCCACGTACTGAAGTGGCCCTCTTCTTTCTGTGTACAAGAGTACTATTGAGATATGCGACACAACTAGCCCGACATCCACGAGTATAGCGTGTTCGGACTGTACAGCTTATCCCCCCGTCATCAGCCACTGGGCCAGGAACGAACTGGCAACTCCCATTGTCATGGGTCAATCCCTGCAACAAGAACACAGAGATCGTACACTGCGCATTTCTAAGTCGTGGGACCTCCCACCCTCCAGCATTTTCTATTTGTGGGAGGGGGGAGGGTCTGCCAAGTATTGTCTGGCTCTGTTGTTGGCAGGAGTCACAGGGCTCTATGGATGTGAGTGCCATCTTGGGAAATGCATGGCTAGATAGGTAGGTAGATGGATAGATAGATAGATAGATAGATAGATAGATAGATAGATGAGAGACAGACGGATGGATGGATGGATGGATAGATAGAGATAAGAGATGGATGGATGGATAGACAGATGAGAGACAGACGGATTGATAGAGATAGATAGATAGAGATAAGAGATGGATGGATGGATGGACAGAGAGATAGACAGATAGATAGAGAGATGGATAGATAGATAGAGAGATGAGAGATGGATGGATAGAGAT